GATGTGTCAAGGACCTAGAGATAACACAGTGAAAGAAAAAAAAAATGGAGAAGTACTAAAAACTAAATTAAAAGGAGAGTTATTTGAGCTCTCATGTCGATCTGTGTGAGCTAGAAATACAAATCAGAAAAGAGATGGTTGTCTATTCACATTACAGTGTAGGCGGCAGCTTAAAATAACAATGCAAAGTTAATGTAGGTTTTGGTAAAACTAGTTCAGATTTGTGACGCAGTACATTACCTTTACTGCACTCTGAGCTGTTTGTAAGCCGAGAGAAACTGGGTTTTATGGCTTTTTAATCTGTGTTCACAGGAAGCTGCTGCTCTGAATTCCTATAATAAGTAACTAGTATGTGATCATGAGCCACCTTCTCATTAAGTGTAGGCCACAGTTCAAGAAGGCAGGAACCGTTGGTCCTTTCTAAGTCAGAGTCCATGGTGCAACAATCATTGTAGTATACCGTCTATACTTGAGGCCACATAAGTTGGAGTTAGGAGCCTGAGTTGCAGCACTATAATTTGCCCTTACATGGTCTTCAGTGGCAGGGTACTTGGGGGGGGGGCCAGCTAGCCCAAACACTTGGAAAATCTACACAGTTCCATCACCTGGAGCATTAAGTTCTCTGTCGTAAATGGTTGTGAAGATAAAAACAGAAGACTGTGGTTATGCCTGACTGAACATCTGTACAAAAGATAACATGTGTTTGCAGTATAACTGAACTGGGCAAGATTCTGAAAGTTTCAGATGTGTTTTCTTAGCATTAGTTTTAGTCTCTAGGTACTTCCTCCGGCATAAAATTAGAAGAAAACAATATGAACACAAAATAAAAAGCAGGAGGAATCTTTATAACTTAAGTGCTTATTTTAAAATGGAAACTGATTTTTCCTAGTTATTAAAGTGAACAAATACTGGATCTCTTAGTTGTTTATGTTTACAACACTTTTTATTAGAAATCATGAGACTTCCACATTAAATATCATTTGAGAATATTAAAAGCACCAAACATAAAAATATCATGGTTTCAGAAGAACCAGTTGAGTAACTGTGGGTCATGCAAACTTCCCTTGGATGAGGACACATTGTCATTTGCCAGTACCCTGAACTTCCTATTTTGAGAACCTATATACCTGTAGTTGTCTTGTAGAGGTATTTTTGTTTGTTGTTTGTTTTTCTCACAAGGAACTTCTGAAACCTTTTTTTAGTTAAAAGTAGGTAGTAGTTCCTTTGCCTGTCTCCTGCAAGAGCAATACTTATTTTAGGCTCCAGAGGTATTGTGTTGTCGGAGATATTAAGATAGTAATTTGTCTTAATAGACTTTAAAATTATTAAGACTCCATGGATATTTTTACAGATTCTACAAAGATCTGGTTTGCATATGTATAGTAGAATATATTATACACATACTGCCCAAACACATGCCAGTGTCAACAATAGAAACGTCAAAATTTAAGTATTATGAGTGATCTTTATATTTGTTGGGATATAGTATAGTACAAATATACTCCATTTCTAGGAAATAGAAAACTTGTACACAGATAGTTTAATGCAGTGTACACTGTAAGAAATACCAACATTAAAGGAGAACAATGCTGTCTTAATAGAATTTTCTATTCAGGAGTCCTTAGGAGAGGTATCAGGAAGAAGAGGCAGATCTCTGCTTTGTCTTGAACCTTGAATGTAAGATAATAGAGACTAAGGCATATGCTGTATTTATGGTTTTGTTTTCTGCATGGATAATGGAATTGTTCATGCTAGGCATATGTTCCAACTACTGAACTACATGCTCAGTTTCATATGCTGGGTTGGTTTTATTATTATTATTATTATTATTATCCTACTTATTATATTTATGTTGAAGCAGAGCCTGTTTATTATTTTGAGATGGACCCTCACTATATAGCCCTGGCTGGCATGGAAGTTCCAGATCATAGTCCCAAATAAACACACAGAGGCTTATATTAATTATGAACTGTTTGGCCAATGGCTAGGGCTTCTTATTGGCTAGCTGTCTTTTAATTATTAATCCATTTCTATTAATCTGTGTATCTCCACATAGTCTTGACTTACTGGTGAATGCCCAGGCGTCCTACCTTCCCAGTGGCTACATGGCATCTCCTTGTGACTTACTCTCTGTATTCCTCTTCCCAGAATTCTCCTAGTTGGGTACCCCTGCCTATACTTCCTGCCTGGCTACATCCTGCCTGTCCACTGGCTGAAACAGCTTTATTCCTCAACCAATAAGAGAAACATACATTCACAACATGCAGAAGGACACCCCCCAATCAGGTTCTGGGATTAAAGTTGTGTGTCACCATAGCCAGCTACCATATGCTCCTTCTGGAGTATTTTCATGCCACCCATCTTTTCATTATCATCATCGTGAATAATTGCTTATGTCTCATAATTACTTAGTGCTACATAATCAGGTGTGAAATAAGTCTTCATCCTGACAAGAATCTGTCTCTCTCTTTGTGGGTATGTATGTATGTGTTAAGCATACAATGCCACTGGTTAATTCTTTATGAAATATTTAACCCCAAACAGTTGTAATTTTAGAAGACATAAGAAGAGCTTACTATTTTTTCCATCTAGAGATCCAGTTGTACATGCTTTAAACATATTTCTATTTTGTGTTTGATTAATATAGTCAAGATCATATATCAAAATAATTTTTTTCTGTGTCCTGTCTGGTCAAAATTATCACAGTCTTTAATTAAAGGGAAGGGTGGATATGTTATTACATCAATAGCTTGGAAATTTCAGGACAGCAAGTTATAGCAGAAAACCAAAGTGGCCATTTTGTTCCATTATTGCTGTCCAATGCATAGACCTATCACATTCCCACAACAGCTTTCACTTCTTGGTATTGTGCAGTGCAGACCCTGAAGGACTGTACAAAATTGTTCCTTCCCAGAAATAAGCAGAGGTTATGTTAAAATTTCATACTCACCATGTACTTGCCTAGTGGGATTCTTTATTTTTGTTTTCTTCCTTATTAAAAAAATGTTTTTCAACATTAAAAATGTTGCTAAAATAGTATAAACAATTCCTTTATTTTTCCTCCAGTTTCAATCACGTTAATAGCTACAATTGTGTATAATTACACTGTTATTTGTTGTATATACAGATAGCTGTTATCTAAGTAGGTTGAGGAGGTTGGTTCTGGGAATTTCCTGGGAAGTAAAATTCATGGGTGCTTGTTTATATGAGATATTGAATATAAGCTACATCCTTCCTCCTGTGTATTTCTAATAATTAATGTTGTCTAAATAGACAATATCCAGTGTTGTTTAGAGGATAATAACAAGAAAAAATCTGTATATATTTGGTATAGTTGTATATTTCTTTGTCAGCAGCCATCTGTGGTTACTTGAACCACGGATGAAGACGTATGATATATAGAACAGATGTTTAGTGGATGAGTATGTGTATAATGTGTACAAATGTATCTGCATGTTTCTGCTTGTGTATTTCCTTAATATAAATTTACAAGTTTCTTCATGAAGTTAAATTTTGAACAAAATTCCATAACTCTGACACTGGGATGTCTAAAATCAAGATTTGACAGGATCAGCTATATTGGGAGGGATGTTGTCTGATGGTGTATAGAAGCTGTAGCCTCTGAATGAGAGGAGATCAGGAGAGCATACCAACCCAATAGCACCATTAATTCATTGCTGATGTTGTATATGCTTACAATTGAATTTTGTTAAGCTTTAAGAATAATGAAATAAGGAAAATTGAGATTCCTAAAAATGATACTAAATGATATAACTCAAGTCAGATAAAGTCTTCTGTCTCACATTCAGATATTTCTAGCATGTTTGTATGTATGTATGTATATATATGGAGGTGTGAAAGCATGGTATAAGTTATGGAACTTCAAAGGGTAGAACAGATGCTGAAAGAGATGAGGGCAGTAGGACACTGGTAGCATGGTAGTGGAAAGGAAGCTAGATAGAGGTGGCAAAGTTGTAAGGGGTTTGAACAGGGGTGGGGGACAAGAAAAACGAAGTGATCCATTAAAAACACATCTTCTTGAAAGGATCATCAGGCAACCTAACACAGCAATCTGAAAGTTTAGTTTTAATAAAAAATTGAAAGAAAGTATTCATGGTAGATGGAGTCATCAACTTGCACTGAGTCTGCCTCTCAACATTTTTGAATTAGGAGTTAAGTTTCTGACTTGTGGGTTTGGGGAAACACAGTCATTCAGTGTTGAATGTTTGTTGGCATAATATCTACCTTTTATTGTTTCTATTACTGCCATTAGAAAATTTTAGCTGATCCTATTCCATCCCCAAATAAAACTAAAAACATGTAGTTATTCCCCTCTTGTAATACCTACATTTTTTTTTTCAGTTTAAGGACCCTTTTTGAAACTGTATCACTGGATTTTAATGTTTTTACTTAAAATACACCTTAAGTATTTCCTTCCATTAACTACAATTTTTAAAATTTATTCACTTGACTTTATATGTTCTGTTTACATAAAATTCATTCACATGATGAAAAATATACTTTATTTTATTAAATAGATTCCCTGAGTTTCACCTGACTAAATGTTATTGGCACAGTACATAGTGCTATTTCCAAATCAGTACCTCTTATGTATATGTATTTGTCTCTCTGTGTGTGTGTTCTTTAACAGTATTTGGGTGGTTTATTATAATATATTTTGTTTACTTTTAATGTAGTCGCTGGATTTTAACTTTCACTTTAAATGTTGTAGAAAACATGTTGGTAGCACTTACTAATGATCTTTTTTCAATGAATTGCAGCAAAACATTCATTATTTTGGAGTTTGAAGTATGTCATCATGGCAAAATTTCGAAGAAAGACTTGCATCATTTTGTCACTTTTTATTCTGTTTATTTTCTCTCTGATGATGGGCTTAAAGATGCTGAGGCCAAATACATCAGCCTTTGGAACTCCTTTTGGACTTGACCTTCTTCCAGAACTTCATCCACCCAACGCCCCCTTGGAAAACAAAGTTGACTTCCAAAAGAGTGATAGAATCAACATGGAAACAAATACAAAGGATTTAAAAGCTGCTGTTGAGACTGTGCAGCCACCTAAAGCCTCTGAAGTGAACCTAGAAGAACTGCCTCCTCTGAATTATTTCTTACATGTATTTTATTACAGTTGGTATGGAAACCCACAATTTGATGGTAAATATATACACTGGAATCATCCAGTCCTGGAGCACTGGGATCCTAGAATAGCCAAGAACTATCCACAAGGGATACATACTCCTCCAGATGACATTGGCTCCAGTTTCTACCCTGAGTTAGGAAGTTACAGCTCTCGGGACCCTTCTGTCATAGAAACTCACATGAGACAAATGTGCTCAGCCTCAATTGGTTGGTAATTAGTTCGTTTTATTTACATATATAAGTAATTTGTATGAACAATTAAATTACTAATCAGTCTTCATACTTTCATTAATTACAGTCTTAACTCATATCCTTGGATTGTACTGCATTTGTGACCTGTTCTGTTTTGGTTGTTGTTTGTTTTTTTTTTGGGGGGGGGGAGGAAGTTGCTGTAATGCTAATTGAACTGATGACTTCATTTGTGCTAGGTACACACCTGAGCTATGCATAGTGGAGCACGCCTACATTTGTAGTACTGGGAAAGCTGAAGGAACAGGGTTATGAGTTCAGGGCAACAGGACCTTTCCTCCTGCTCTAAAGTTGTCATCATCATTGCCCCATTTACTGCTGAACCTGACCCTACTCCAGCAACTGTATGTGATTTCTGTCACTGTGAAGTTATGATTGTTCTGTTCCTTTATGACAGAAAAATGAATTAGCTATCCTGTTTGCTTTTTCTATTTTGCACAACACAGTATTTTGTTATTCATCTGTTGTTAAAATTATCAGTTTTATTCATTTTTATTGGTGATTATATTTCATTATATGATCGAGGGTGTTGTTTCTGCAGTCATGTGTTCGACATTTCAACTGTTTTTTTTCTTTTCTGTAGCATACAATTTGGCTTTATTTCTTTACTCCTTTTCAATTTCTGTGTCAGTTTCTCTTTTATTTAATGTAATATGGTTTTAAATGTTCCGTTTTGCATTTCCACTTGCCTTGTTGATGGTCTTTTCTTCATCTTTTATATGCCTTATCTAACATTGAATGTGTGAATTATTCTATCCTGCAGTCTCTTTTGGCCTAGTAATATAGTTATTCTTCTTATTTATTTTTAAAATTGCTGTACCATTGCAATGTACACCTTTAGTTTAACTGGTGAAAAGTGATCAGTTATTCTCATGTCACCAGTGCCCCTCATCCTTTTCTGTCCTTTGTGTGATTTCCAGATACATATCCTTAGTCGTAATGACAGTGTCTGAGAAATGTAGTCTCTAGAGCCAGTGTGTGAAAGTTCCACATAGCCAGGTCTGTTGTCTTTGGTGTTCTATTAATAAAGACTGATGCTTTTATTTCCTTGCTTGTGTTTTATTCATTATTCTTTGAAACATGCTTTTGAGAAGACAGCTTCCAGAGTGACTTTGCTTTGTCTTTGCTGTTGAGAATGCTGATGCTGGCTCACACAAATATCTGCATGAAGTACAGCAGAGACACATGATCATTGGGAGCCAGGCTGTAGACTGCTGCTTCCTAGATCTGCTTCCCCCTCTCCAGAAGCACCTGAGGAAACTGACTTCTGTGATGCTTTCATGACTAACTTAGTCACTCTGCTAGTACCTTCTTATTTATGGAGTAAGCCTTTGTCTTCATGGTATTTCTTGTTGCCCATGTTTGATATATATAGCTGTTGGAAATCACTGCATGGTTATTAGAAATAGAATCCTGGTTTGAATTATGTGGAAGAATGCATTCCTTACATTGTTCGTGTGCTTTGTAACTTTTTGACATGTGCTACTTCCCTTACATATATTTATTTTCACTGCTTTTTGAGAGAACGAAATTGCTTTCCTAGGATGTGTGTGTGCTGAGTGTGTTTGTTCTTGATGCTGTTGCAAGTTGGGTTGGAGGGCTGCTTAAATGTTCGTCAGTTTCCTTCCATCTTTTGTTTTCACCAACATCTTTATCTATATGC